TGGTCATGCCCAAGTCCTCCTCTCATAAAGTTTTGAGTTTGGGTGACGAGGTCTCCATCATGTTCAGCAACAGATTGTAAATCCTTGAAATCAGCCCTTTATGGGTCGGGTTCAATTGTAAGATAGTTTCCAACAACGTAGGCTCTGGTAAAGAAACTGAGCCTGAAAGATGGGATTGAATAAAATTTCTGGCTTGTAAATATCTGAAAAAGTGGGATTGTGGTAGACCATACTTATTGCTAAGTTGTTCAAATGATGCCAATTTCTTCTCAATGAAAAGGTCCTTAAAATGAGTCAGACCGCTCCTGTGCCACCCCAGGAACACCCCATCCTGAACGGATGGTTTAAACAAATAGTTAAGTGCAATGGGGCTTAGAGGGGAAAAATCCAGAAGTTTAAAATATTTCCTAAACTGGCCCCATATTTTTAGTGAATGTTTCACTACAGGATTTAAAATGGAGTTGGGTGAGGAGAGTGAACGTGGAGAACAAAGCATAGCCGGTATAGATATATTATTGTTGTTGTGTAATTCCATAGTCACCCCAATCAGGGCAGTTATTCAGGCTATGGTAAAAATACCAGAACACTAAGCATCTGAGGTTAGCAGCCCAATAATAAAACCGAAAGTTGGGGAGCCCCCCCCCCCCCTCTTTAGGTTTTTGAAGATGCATCTTTATCCCTCCAGATGTAGGATGAAAAAATTGAATACAACTCGTTAACAAATATATTAGGAATAAAAATAGGTAGTGCCTGAAAAAGATATAAAAATTTGGGTAATATAGTCATTTTAATTGAGTTGATACGTCGTACCAAGGACATGGAAAGTGGCGTCCATTTTGTGAGGGATCTTTTCACTTGGTTTAACAATGAAGTCAAATTCCCTTTGAACAAGTTTTTATGTTTTTTTTTGTCACTGATATACCCAGATATGTAAATTTTTGTCTTTCAATTCTGAATGACAGATTGGTAAAATCTGACATATTTACTTTATTACTTGAAGGGAAAAGCTCACTTTTGGTAAGGTTCAGTTTATACCCGGAGATCTGGACAAATTGGGTAAACAAATTGAGGGAAAAAGGCAGTGAAGTTGATGGCTTGGCGATAAAAAGTAAAAGGTCGTCTGCATAAAGCGACACCTTATGATCCATGACATTTCTCCAGATGCTGGATATCTCCTTGCTGGTACGTATTACAAAGGCGAGGGACTCTACGGCCAGATCAAAAAGCAGGGGGCTAAGAGGACAGCCCTGCTGGGTGCCTTTTTGTAATTTAAATGGTTTTGAGGTTTGAAAATTGGTACGTACTGTAGCAGATGGCTGACGATACAATAATTTAATCCATGAAATGAATTTGCCCCCAAAACCAAATCTACTAAAAACTGCAAAAAGATAGTCAAACTCAGCCCGATCAAAGGCTTTTTCAGTGTCAAGAGAAACAACACATTCATCTGAGACTGTGGGGCTTGAGTAAACTACGTTAAGAAGCCTTCGTATATTAAAATATGAATGGCGGTCTTTAATGAAACCTGTTTGGTCTTTTGAAATAACTGATGGTAGGACAGTTTCGAGCCTACGGGCAAGAATCTGAGGGAGGGATCCTTGTTTAAAGCAATTGGTAAGGGTGGAACCAAGCTGAGCAGAGAGTAAAACTGAAAATTGTTAAGAAAAATTCTGAGGGAAGACCATCTGGACCTGGACATTTGCCAGACTGCATTGAGGCTATTGCTAGGGAGACTTCTGTCTGGGAGATGGGTTCGTCTAACCTGTTTTTGAGTTCTAGTGAGATTATAGGGATGTGAAGTTTAGCTAAGAAACCATTAATCATGTTAGAATTGGTTTGTAATTGTGAGCTGTAGAGCTCCGAGTAGAAGTCTCTGAATGCATCGTTAGTTTTTCCATAATCTGTGATTGTATTGCCGTCTTGTGTTCGAACTTCAGAAATAGTTTGCCTTGCCCTAGATCCCTTAAGTAGGGTTGCTAATAGTTTATCAGGTTTGTCGCCATGCACATAGAATTTGGATTTGTCATGCAAGAGCAAACGTTCAGCTGAGTGTGTTGTTAGTAGGTCAAGCCTTGTTTAAAGTTCAACACGCTTTTTAAAAAGTTACAGAACTTTCAGCTCATTCAGGAGATAGATGCTGAGGCTTTTGGTTTTTGTTAGTTTTATACTTTCTCAAATGTGTTCCTCAAGGTAGTCTATTAAGATACCTTCGGTTTCTTAAAAATAACTCAAAATCTGCTTCTGCAAACTTATTCTATTTTAATACAACATTTAGTTTTAACTACTTTCCTGCTACTTCAAGGTTATAAGTAGCTTTTTCCTACATTTAGCTTTTGCTTCTTTTAACGTTTAGCTAGCGTTTACCTTTTATTCATCTTTAACAAAATTTCAGCCTCTTCAGTAAATTTCAGCAATCATTTAGCTCTCAGCATCAACACTTTCTGTAGCTGTGTATATTGATAAATTCAGACCTATTTTTATCATTTTAAACCATTTTTATTTTATTTTGGGGAAATAAAAATACATTTTGACAATACATGCATTTGCTTAAGTACAGGTAGATGACGTCACTAAAATTATTATTATTTTTTTATTATCAAACTTTAAGTTAAAGATTATTCTGTTTGAATGTGTAAATTTTCATTAATTAACAGTCAAAGCAGGATGGTATTTCAAATTTGCCTTAAAATACCTCGGAGGCCTGAGAAGAGGAAGTGAAAACCGGCTGACACGTTGATGTTTCCGGCCATCTAATTTGACTGAGAAGTGCGAAGCAAATAACACCAAAGTTACACAACTCAGTTTATATACTGATTGTTTTTCCTCTTCATTGTGAAACATAACTGCTATTTTTAGACTAAAACAAATCGGTGATTTTCCTGCCGGGGCAATTCTTCTGATTAACGTTTGACCAGGTTCAATATGGCCGCCATGGCTAAATGATCCTAGAACACATTAGAAAATGGCTATACCACAGACAGTTTTACAGATATCAAGCTAATATTTGACGTGATATTTCTTCAAGGATTTCCAGGTTCATTTAAACCTGCGATGGCGTTATACGTTGCGAAACCCTCACATTTGCTATCATCAAAATGAACAGTCCACATGTGACAACTGTGGCCAATTTTTGGACGTATAAAGCAAACACTCAGCTCGCTTTACTTTTCTACATAGGCCAGTGTTTCCCCTACCATTATACAAGCGGGGCGCCCCGCCCCCTCAACAGAACCGAGCACCCTGCCTACTGAACTGAACTGTCCCCACTCCGACCGTCATACAGGCGCGCTAGCTAAAAAGCTAAAGGCAGCACTCACGCTGCCTCCTCCCTCACATTGAACCCCCCACCTCGCTTCAAAAACTGTCAGTACAAACAGCGCAGCTCCGTCTCCCCCCCAACAGAAATCACGGATGACATAAGCACCCTGCCATGGCAAGTTATCTAGGGGAGACACTGTAGGTGATACCACTTCCCTTTAAACTCGAGTTCTGTACCAGAGGCCTGGGAGATAGAGGTTCTGTTCAGCATCTTCCTAGGACTGTGTTCTTCTGGACAGAGATCTCTGAGGTTGTTCCTGGGATCTGTTCATTTCAAGTGAATTCAATTCAGTTCGTTCATATAGCGCCAAATCACAACAGAAGTCGTCTCAGGGCACTGAACAGAAACATTCACATACATAAAAATCAGTTTTTTTTTTTCATTCATTCAACTTTTATTTAGACAGATTAATCCCATTGAGCCCCGAGGACTCATTTACAAGAGAGACCTGAAGTTAATAATGTTATTTATCCAAGGAGCCAACAGATTGCTTTGAGTTTTCACTTGGTCGCAGTCTTCCATCCTAAGCAAGCATAAAGGCCACAGTGGAAAGGAAAAACTCCCTCACGAGGAAGAAACCTCCAGCAGAACCAGGCTCAGAACAAGCTGGCATTTGCTTCGACCGGGCTGGGTTTGAGCGGACAGGAAGCAGAAACTAGCACACAATGGCAAATCCAGGATGGAGGCCATCAGGTTTTTCTCTAGGACGAAAGACAAAAATATAGAAATCACATGTTAAAAAAGAATAATTACAAATACAAACTATCTGTTGGAGCCAATCTTCCAGTCTGGGGGTCACAGAACCAAGTGCTTCAATGACCACTGGGACTACTGATGCTTTGACTCTCCACATCTTCTGTATTTCCTCATTCAGCCCTTGGTATTTCTCCAGCTTCTCCTACTTCCTGATGTTGCAGTCACTTGGGATTGCTACGTCTACCATCACTGCCTCCTTCTCTTAAGTCAACCACCAGAATGTCCGGTTGGTTCGACATCACCTGTTTGTAGGTCTGGATCCGAAAGTCCCACAGTATCTTAGCCCTGCAGTTCTCCACCACCCTTGGTGGAGTCTCCTACTTTGCCTGTGGGACCTCCAGTGCAAACTCGGCACAGATGTTCCTGTAATAATAATAAAAATAAAATAAAATAATAATACGGGCATAGCGACCCGTCCAGGGTGTACCCCGCCTCTCGCACAGTGATTGCTGGACATGGGCAGCAGCGACCCCCGTGACCCAAAATGGAATAAGCGGGTAAAGATAATGGATGGATGGATGGATGGATGGATGGATGGATGGATGGATGGATGAACAGACACTGGTAGAGTTTCTACTCCTCGATGTGAATTACTGCAAGAACTCTGTGGCGAGAGTCAAGTAGATGACACATGCTAACAAAGCCAGGAGGAGTTGACTCAAGTTGAAAAAAAGTCATTATATCGTTCCCAAGTTTCATTTAAGCACAGACTCCAGCTTGTGGTCAATGAGGAGATCCTGGATGAGATGTCCCTTGTTCATGAGTGAGTGGACATTATGCAGACTGAAGTGGACAGTCTATCACATGTTAGCTGACCTGGGTAAGCCAGCTAGCACAGAGTGGTCAACAGACCGTCTGGAGTGTTGTGAAGTACATCAAAAAGAGGACCAGAATGATTTTATTGATTTCAAGTTGTGTGAAGGCAATGGCGAGAACCTGTGTGGATATCTCTCCGGAGAGGCAAAACAACGTCCGAGTGCAGGTGCACTGTTGTGGTAGCCCAGACAGGCAGGGAAGAAGTGAGAGAAGCTCATCAGCTGTGTACTGGATAAGTCAAGTTACAGTTTGATAAACTGGCAGCAGGAGAGACCAGAGAAAAACATACCAGGTATAAACGAAAAAGTTCTATAAAATATAATTGCGTCGCTCAAGGTGGCTGCGTGTTGGAGCAGCTCTGTTACTTTCATTCTGAGATTTTGCTTTTGGAAACTTTAATTCCTCTTTTTCTGGATGTAAATCACATTTTTTGGATGATTGTTTCCTCTGGTATCAGATGCTGTGCAGCTGGAAGGATTTTTAATGAAACTTTTTTAGTTTTGGACATTTGTTATGATGCGTAACCATGGCAACAAGGCTGTTTTCTACAACCAACAGCAGCTGATTAACATCTCAAAAGGTCAAATAATATCTCAACTTCAGCCCAAAATCTCAAATGAGTTGAAAAGGATGTTCTGTGAACGCATTCTCATCTACCTGCCTGCTGTGCTTGAGTGCCTGACCACTGAGATCCTGGAACTAGCAGGAAACATGGCTCATGACAGCGGAAGGACAGGATCGTCCCTCGGCACCTACAGCTGGCTGTCCGCAGCGACGAGGAGCTCGGCAGACTACTGGGAGGAGTGGCCATCACTCTGGGAGGAGTTCTGTCCAGCATTGGACGGTCCTACAGCCCAAGGTAACCGAGAGGCCAGCCGAGTCTGGGTGGACGGATCGGACGGCATCTGCAGCCAGTTTCTTAGGATCCACTGTGGGATGGACCTTTACAAGAGACCCTTCCTGTCTACAGCCATCAGCATCTATAACATCTCTTAATGAAATGAGGATAACGAGTTACAACAACAAATAATTTCCCTCTGGGATTAATAAAGTATTTTTGAATTGAATTGAACCCAGACAGCCTGCTTTGTGGATGCAGCCTTGGTGATCAGGTGAACAGTCGCGATAGAGGCCTGAGCTGAAATCACAGCCAGGTAGGCTAGAGTTTATCCAGTCACACAGCTCAAAACAGTCTCTCTGAATGAGTCAGTTTGTTGAGTCATAAAACATTAAGCAATACAATTTTCCAGAGAACAGTGGCAATTCAGCTAGTGTTCTGCCTGTGCATTATTCCAGCCACTTGGTAATGGCATTTCATACATGCTTTGCCTGGCAGCATCTTACCTCCTGCTCTTGTGAGTTGAAAAATAAAATAGAATATAGAGTAGAAATAGAATAAATACGATATATATTGTAGAAAGTTACTAAGTAAAAATAATATTCCAGAATCGATAAGTGCAGCCCTTTGTGACAATGGATTGAAAAATGTGTTCTTTATTTATTTACAGATCAAGATACTTGACTTTAACAAAAGTTTGGACTACAACATAAGCTACATGTGCGATCAGGAAGAAGTGTTCCTGCAGAACTTCTACTCCGTGTTCCTGACAGTTCTCTACAGCGTCATCTTCCTCCTGGGTCTGTCCGGGAATGGCCTGATGATCGCCGTCTTCCTGAGGCGTCGCCGTCGGTTACGCATCACGGAGATCTACCTGCTGCACCTGGCTGTGGCGGACCTCATGCTCATCTTCACTCTGCCGTTTGAATCAGTGAACAGATGGGTGTTCGGGGACTTTCTCTGCATGCTGATCGGCACGCTGAAAAATATGAACCTGCTTTGCGGAAGTTTCCTCCTCGCCTGCATTGGATTCGACAGATACCTGGCCATTGTTCACGCAGTTCCCAGCATGCAAAGCCGTCGTCCAAAGGTCGTGCACCTGATGTGTGCATCTCTGTGGATTCTCTGTTTGTTTTTGTCACTACCCAATGCCGTGTTTCTCTCTGTGGAACAGGACAAATATGATTTTATGTTCTACTGCCATTACTATCGCTTTGAAACGCACTCTCACAACTGGGTTATTGCTAACAGGATCTTACATCACGTGTGCTTTTTCTTCTCTTTGGGGGTCATGTGTTACTGCTACACCACACTGGTTATAACTTTGTTCCACAGCCAGAAAAGCCAAGCCAAGAAAGGCGCCATTCGATTGGCTTTGCTCGTCACACTCGTGTTCTGTTTCTGCTGGTTGCCGTATAATGTCACCTCCGTAATCAAGACTCTTGAGGAGCTGGAAGTGGTGACGTACGACATCTGTGAGTCCTCCGCCTTGCTGAACCAGGTCTATTATGTAACGCACAGCCTGGGGATTTCCCATTGCTGCCTGAATCCGTTCCTGTACGCCTTTGTTGGGGTGCAGTTTCGTAATGAGCTGCTTCACCTGCTGTGTCAGCTGGGTTGCAGCCGAGCTTGTTTGCCGTTTATCAGAGCTCCAGTTCAAATGCGGCACTCTATTTCTGATGGAATGACAACCAACAGAACTAACATCTACCAATAAAACCCTGGTAATCAGATTACACGTCATGGTAGAGAATGCTATAACCAGTGGCGGCTGGTGGAGTTTTCTCCGGGGGGGGGGGGATCGCGAGAAGCTTAAAGTGGTGACGTACGACATCTGTAAGAGAGCA